ACTATGAGAGTCGGCCTAACGTTCTCGCCTTGAACAACGTCTCATTTCAGATTCGCCAGGGCGAAAACGTAGCCTTTGTCGGCCGTTCCGGTAAGTCAACGAGATCGCCGCACGATAAGTACTGACTTCGTCACCAGGCGCTGGAAAGTCGAGTACGATTCATCTGATAGAGAGATTCTTCGATCCAAATGCTGGACAAGTGTACCTCGATGGGCAAGACATACGCCAAGAACCCGTTCGAAACCATCGTGCTCGCCTAGCACTTGTGGTAAGTTACCTACTCTCGTCCATATTAATACACACTTTACTCTGTTAAACGCCAATCGAATGTGGTAGCTCTTCATGGGGCGCGTTTTATATGAAGATGGCTGACACCCAGCAGGAGCAGGAGCCAGATCTCTTTCCAGGTTCCGTCAAGTTCAATATTGGACTGGGCGCTCGGCCAGGTACCGCAGTCGCCGATGATGATATACAACGGGTGGCCAAAGAATGCGAGCTTCACGACTTCATCATGAGCCTTCCAGAGGGCTACAACACGGAAGTCGGTGCACATGGCTCCAAACTCTCGGGTGGTCAGCGCCAACGCCTTGCTATCGCCCGAGCTCTCATACGTGATCCCGAGATCCTACTTCTCGATGAAGCGACATCGCAGCTGGACGCCAATACCGAGCGCGACATCCGAACGGCTATCGCCGCTGCCTCCAAAGGGCGAACTACTATCATGATAGCACATCGATTAGCGAGTGTGCAATATGCAGATCGCATCTTCGTGTTTGATGGTGGTCGTATCGTTGAGCAGGGCAGACACGATGAGCTCGTAGCCATGGGAGGCATTTATGCTGCCATGGTCGCAACACAGGAGCTGGATTAGGTGCACATCTATACACTTTGTCGAGCTTTCGTTTCGCAGTCCCCTCGGACCGGTTTTTCTCTTCGATGCGTGTTGTTCAGGCGACTGGCGCGTTGTAATATGCGTATGTACCAGTACTCTCATGTTTTGACCATCTATCGGAGCACCCCTCGCATTTCGAAGGCGTTGAACAATGTTTGTTCCTGTACCATCATAGTTCCTTTCATAATTAATTAATGCTTCATGCGTCAAGCATGGCACATGATTTTGTTCCTCAACCTGCCTAGTTCGCGCTGGTGCATCCCCTCCAGTATATGTTGCCGCGTTTGCATGCTAACGAAATGGCATGCTCACAGTGGGCCCTAAGATGGAACAGCGACAGATGCATTTATCCAAATGAGCTCACTGTTCCGAAGACTAGCCGGTGCAATCTTTTCGTTCCACAGCTATTCACAAAGTCAACGCTTCTGCCCTGCTCATGTCCCGTTCTTCTTACCGCATATAGCTCTCAGCGATGAGAGGGCGACTTGACCAGCGGAACAAGGCGTCTTCGAGCGCCTCGTTCGTCATCAGCTTGCTTCACTATGCGCTAGTACGACGCGCTTCTGGACCTTGGAATGATCGGCGGATGCGGCGTGCTAACCGAGCCTAGTAGCAACGCCGGAACATGCAGTTGATGGTGGTGTCGTTGGGCGTGCACCAGTAAGACCGAGGCCGCTCCGAACTCGCAAGAAATCTCTTCATCTAATCTGATGGATTGATTCATTTCCATCTGATAAGTTTTACTCCGCCAAGCGCGCATGTTACCCACGACCCCACGGAGACTATACTCGATCGCGTCGCTCGACGCAACTACAGGACAAGTGCTGCGGGGCACGTCTGAAAATTTTGCCTCCGTCATACGCTTTACCAGTGCCGAAAAAGCTGTTGCTCGACGGGCTATGCTCCGTCATCTTATCAGATGGCGCGTCCGAAGATCAGTGACATGGGGGTTGTGCTGCCATCACCTGCTTAGCGAACCACACATGGTGACACTAGGTTGGAACGGACCGTCAGGGTCTGCTCTTACGAAGTGACATCGGACCATTCTGTGACGAGCATCGCGGCCGCTACCGATCGACATGGATGGGCTACACGCAAGAACGGATCCTGGGCACGGCCATGGTCAAGGTACAACTCATGGCCGCCGTCGTGGACCTTCTCCCATAACCTGACGACGGTAGCTACGTTGACCATCCAGCGTCTTGTAACCTTACAATTGAGCGATCAAATAGGTACGTTGCTGTCATCAGTCTTTTCGTCTTGTTCATCTGCGTCAAGTGTAGACGTCATTGTTTATCACATGAATCCGCTGACTGTCGGCTTTCCACTTACAGCTCCGCGACTCAAGCTTCTTGACGCCTGATTGCCCAGTTCTAAAAGAACCCAATTCGAAGCGTTGGTGACAGTTGTCAGTGTACGTAGTCCCGCCAACAGTTGCGCACAGCGCGACACGAGCTCGCGTAATGTGTGCCAGCAATACTAACAGAAGAAGGGTACCTCGTAGTGACAACCCGGGAATATATCGCAGATATGAGTCCTCACGCCGAAATGTCGTCGAGCACGTCCGAAGGGCCAGCCCCAGCCGTTCAACGAGCTTTCAACGGTTTCCTGACCGAGAACCTCAATGAAAGCCATCTCCCCACGATTGAAAACCGTTCACACCTCCGATACACTGCAGAAGATGAACTGCACGACCTTATATGTGTCGGTTTTGGTCCAGCGTCACTAGCCATTGGTGTGGCTCTGCATGATGCTCTGGATGGGACTGATCCTTCCTTGGTGGATGTTGCGGGCCTACAAAGCAGACCACCAAAAGTCGCGTTTCTCGAGAAGCAGTCGCAATTCGCGTGGCACGCTGGCATGCTTCTACCGGGTGCGAAGATGCAAATCACATTCATGAAGGACATGGCCACTATGCGAAACCCGAGAAGTGAATTCACCTTCATCAACTATCTGCACCAGAAGGACCGCTTAGTCGAGTTCGCAAACCTGAACACCTTCCTACCAGCTCGTGTGGAGTACGAGGACTACATGAAGTGGTGCGCTAGCTGGTTCGAAGAGGTGGTAGCATACAGCCAAGAAGTCATCAAGGTCATGCCTGAGAAGTCGCCAAATGGCGAGATAACCACATTCACAGTCGTCTCGCGCAACACCCTGACAGGACGCATCGAGTCGCGGAGAACCAAGCATGTCGTCATCGCTGCGGGTGGAAGACCCAACATTCCTGCGCCATTCCCGACAAACCATCCCAAGGTTGTCCACTCGTCAAAGTTCTCATACATCTCGAAGGAGATCTTGAAGGATCACAGCGCACCTTACAGTGTGGCAGTAGTCGGGAACGGCCAGAGTGCCGCTGAGATCTTTGACTTCCTACACGCAAACTACCCAAACTCGCGAACACGGATGCTGATCAAGGGCGGAGCCCTGCGACCAAGCGACGACTCACCATTGTAAGTGAGAAATGACTGTTGCCGAACTGCCTCGCTAATATACCAGTGTCAACGAAATCTTCAACCCGTCGCGAACAGACTGCACATACGCGCGCGCCCCTAAGCTTCGCGCAACTACGCTGCTCGAAGACAAGGGCACGAACTACGGCGTCGTCCGCCTTCCGCTTCTCGAACACATCTACGAGACGCTTTACCTACAGCGCATCCGTCATGGTAACTCGCCCGCTGAGGAAGAGAACTGGCCGCACAGGATCATGCCATACCGTCGCGTCATCGATGTGACCGACTCCCCAGTTCGGCCGGGTGGTGTACGCCTTCAGGTACAAGACACCAGTCCATTATACTTCTCGGAGTGTGCGGGTGCCCAAGAAAGGCAGGAGACATTGGATGTCAATGCCGTCTTTGTTGCGACTGGATACCACAGGGACCTGCACGAGACGCTGCTCAAGGACGCAAGGCACCTCATGCCCGGTGGAGAGCTAGAGGGTGCCAAGTGGCAGGTGCAGAGGGACTACAAGATCAACTTCACCGAGAAGAGTGTTGGTGACGATGCTGGTGTTTGGCTGCAGGGCTGTTGTGAGACTACGCACGGTGTAAGTACTGCCTGGGCATGTTGCGAAGAGGAAGATATGCTAATTATGGTGACAGTTGAGTGATACCCTTCTTTCGGTGCTTGCGACGCGTGGAGGTGAGATGGTGAGGAGCATCTTTGAGAGGCCTGCCACGTGGGACAACGGCGACGTGTTGGGCGGGTATGAGATGCGCGAGTAATGGATGGTTCGTCGGTGGATTCCATGTAACTAGGCACACTCCTCTTTCAGCTGCACATACTACTATGACGTCTTTGCCCACGCCAGCTTTTCGCCCAGCCATGTCCAATTTCGTTTGTCGTTCCAATTGCACATGTCGCTTGCACTTGCTGCGGTCCGCGGCGGGTGTTGTGAGGGAAAAAAGCAACGCTTATTTGAATTTGATATCGGTGCCTAGGGCATCCAGGGTCGCGCCTGCCTGTTTGAGGACCCTGAAGAAGGAGGCAGCCCAAAGAAGCTGCAGTCGACACAACGTGAAGCTGCGCGGCGACCGTCGTGTGCCTGCTGTATGCGTGGTAATAATGAACAAAACGACAGAGAAAGGCAGCTGCAGCCCGCACAGTGAATGACGGCAGTCACCCCACGATGATGGGCGCGAGGAGGCTGGCCGCTTTGGTCGCTAGCGCAACCAAGGAAAGAGCCCAATTCCATGGATGTTGCAATGGCGCCGACATCAGCGCTACGCTGACCTTGAAGCCATCCTTTCCCTCTGCCTGTGCATATTCCCCTCTGCGCTTCCCGTCCGCGCATTTCTTCCCTGCGGCTGCTCCAGGCCCTGCTGCGACAGCGTACAGCCGCTGACCACGTAACACCACCCCGCAACCGCCAAACGCTCCAAGCCCGTCACCCCGAGTCCCGTACGGCCACAACAAGCGCGCTCCCCTCGAGCCCACGCCTCTTGCAACCACGACTCCAGCGCTGCGCCGCAGTCACCGTCCGCCGTAGCTCCATCCTCTCCATCAGCGGGCGCGTATCCTCGGCATGCAACACCGGCAGTGAGGACTGATTGGCGTCTCTATCCGCGACACCGTCGCTCTACACCCTTAGCCCTCGCTGCTCCCGGTTGCCATGGAACCACAGTGGACTGCCTACTCGGAGGCACCGGGTAATCGCTACTCGCACAGCATGGCCCCGTCTCCGCACGCCTCGCGGGACGCCAGCGTGTCTTCGCAGGTCAAGCCGGACCCCTACGCAACGCCGTCACGACAGAATTCAATGCCTTTGCAATCGCCTGGCGGCACTGCTAGCCGAGGCCCCGAGTACAACGACGGCGATGGCGATGTTCCCATGGAGGATGCATACAAGCCGCGGCTGAACATGGCGCGCCCTACGCAACAGCAGAGGCAATCGCAGCAGTTCCTCCAGCAAGAGGAGAGTGCCGCCGCCCGCAGATACTCGCCCATGAACCTTTCACCTACCTCGCCCTACTCGGGCGGTGCGCAGCAGGGCGGACAGAACTACACCAGCTTTACCCCTCAGGCCCAAGCGCAGACGCAAGCCAGCCGGCAGAGCCCGACGCGCAACAATCCCTATATGTCGCCGCCCAACAACTACTACTCTCCGCCATGTAGGTTCAGCCTGTGCTTGGATATTCACATGCCTTGACCCCCAGTACTGACAGTCTCGCTTTAGCCTCCCGACCGCATGCGCCTCAACTGCCGCCTCTACAGTCCAACATGAGCCCCGAGAGTTTCTACCCGCAATCTGCGACGGCGCAATTGAACGCGGTATACAACAGAGACGCTCGATCGCCGCGCGCCTCCTCCAGCTCAAACCCTTCACAGCTGCCTCCGCCAGGCCGAGGGCCAGTACCAAAATTCGAAAAGTGTGTCAACACTGCCGATTTGCAACCTAAGATCAATGCCCAGCCGCCCTTTCGTCGCGCAAATCCTGAGGGTGGCTTTATTAGCGTAAGTCGAACAGTGTGGGTGACAACTTCCATACTAACAGAACGTCTAGCCCCTACAAGCGCTCACTGCCCACCTGCCAATGACCTACAAGCTGTGCAACGGCGGCTTCAACTACCAATCGTCGCGCAACCCTCGCCGAGTCCTCACGAAGCCGAGCAAGGGCGTCAAGAACGACGGATACGACAACGAGGATAGCGATTACATACTCTACGTAAACGACATTCTTGGGTCAGAGGAATCAGGGCACAAGAACCGCTATCTGATTCTAGATGTGCTAGGTCAGGGTACCTTTGGGCAGGTTGTCAAGTGCCAGAACTTGAAGACACAGGAGGTTGTTGCGGTCAAGGTTATCAAGAACCGGACAGCATACTTCAACCAGAGTATGATGGAAGTGTCGGTGCTTGATTTGGTCAGTATTCACCTACAAAGACGCAGGACGGCTCTAACACGGCGCAGTTGAACAAGCAAATGGACAAGAACGATGATCATCACCTTCTGCGGCTGAAAGACACCTTCATCCACAGGCAACATCTGTGTCTGGTCTTCGAGTTGCTCAGCGTCAACTTGTACGAGCTGATCAAACAAAATCAGTTCCGTGGACTGTCCACAACCCTGGTGCGCGTGTTCGCACAGCAGCTGATCAATGGTCTCGCATTGCTTGGAAAGGCAAAGCTGATACATTGCGACTTGAAGCCCGAGAATATCCTGTTGAAGAAGTACGTAACATGTCTGACATTTGCGCGCGTCCACTGACCTGTTGCTAGCCTCGAGAGCCCAATCATCAAAATCATCGATTTCGGTTCCGCATGCGACGAACGCCAGACCGTGTACACGTACATCCAATCGCGATTCTACCGATCACCCGAAGTTCTGCTTGGTCTGCCGTATTCAGCAGCGATCGACATGTGGTCATTGGGTTGCATTGTTGTCGAGTTATTCCTCGGTCTGCCTCTGTTCCCAGGCTCGTCTGAGTACAACCAAGTGTCAAGGATAACGGAGATGCTGGGGCTACCACCGCATTGGATGCTCGAAATGGGCAAGCAATCAGGAGAGTTCTACGAGAAGTCGCAGGATGAGTATGGTCGCAAGCAATATCGGCTGAAGTCAATGGAGCAGTACTCACGGGAACATGGCACGAAGGAGCAGCCCAGCAAGAAGTACTTCTCTGCCACAACCCTGCCCGACATAATTAAGAATTATCCCATGCCGCGGAAGAACATGAAGCCAAACGAGATCGAGCGAGGTAAGCAGGCCAACAGACTGTGTCACCTTCACGGCTAACATCTCATAGAAATGGCCAACCGAGCGGCCTTTATCGACTTTGCACAGGGACTGCTGAATCTCAACCCACTAGAACGTTGGACCCCTGCGCAGGCCAAGTTACATCCGTTCATAACCCAGGCCAAGTTCACTGGTCCATTCGTACCTCCCATGACTCTAAAGTCTGGCTCAAGCAGGTCGCCTGCCCCCGGTGTTCAGGAACAGCAACGATACGAGGGCATGAGCAGACAGCGACAGCAGCAGCAACAACAGGCCGTCGCGCAACAGCAACAAGCGCAAGCAGCCCAGCATGCTGCGTATGCGAACATGCAGATGAACCAGTATGCCGCTGCACAAAGCCCGCAGGCTCAGCAAAACCCCTACAACATGTACGGCCCGAACCACCAGGGCGCTCCTCCACCATATCCTGCACAGACAGCACAATACGGTCAGCCGATGAATATGATGCAGCCACAACAGCCACGGCAATACAACCAGCCCCAGAACCTGTATGCCCAAGCTACCACCCGCGCTGGGCGGCAGCGAGCAACGACGATGGATCAACAGCAGTCGGGACAATCAGGTATCCCCCCTGCCCTTCAGAGGGTCATGAGCCACCTCGATCCCAACGCGCCTGTTCGTCTGCAACCATCACCGGCATACTACCCACCGCCACCTGATGGTGCCCCTGAAAGCGCGAGCAGCGCCGCCAGGAGAAGGGGGTCAAGGGCAGGCAATTCAAACCGCAACCAGAACTTTGTGCGAAACTTGGAAGACCGGACGCTTGAAGAAGGTTTTATGGGTCAGAATCATTGGCAGTGACGGGATGGCTTCGACGAGTAGTTCTCATATTACGAAAACAACCCTCTGCACCACGTAGAGATGCGACGGTGGATGAGTCGCGGCGTTCTGAGTTCTCCTTGATGCACGTTTCCCTCGGAGTGCTTCCGTCAGTATCGTTGCCCAAGACTGAGATAGGCAACATGTCGCTATCGACAGGTGGAGCAGGACTCGGATGACCGCGCAGGCCGCACATGTTCCCCACGATCTGCTCAAATTGTACCACGCTCTGACGATGCACAGCGCCCTCAACTGGCTTCTGACAGGCTCTCTGCTGGGCCAGATTGATGACTCACGGCCTGCACTGGGAGTCACTGAACGAGAGAAGCTGGGTCTTGATTGAATGGTACATAACGGGGCGGACCAGATGCATGTTCAACAGCTTGGCTGGGGTCGCTAGATGTCGAGCCATGACTCGAACGTCCTCAGCAGTCGGGGAAGCGGTGGATGGCAGCACATGTACTTTTATTAGCATTCTCATAAACCTGTTTGGCTGTGTCCATGGCCACAAAAGCATGTGTATACTTTCAGCTGCGATGCTCGTGATGGGGTCGGAGGATGAATGAGCTCGGTGGAGGCTGACTGTGCTATTGAATAACTAGTAGTGAACGCAAGCAATGAATGTCGAATACCAACGCTTTAGACGTGGTGCAAACTTCAGTGGTTAGAGTGACTGCCCTAGCGTATGGTGGTGAAGGCGTTCGCGTCTGCTTAGGGTTAGGCGCGGGGCACACAGTCATGGCTTGGCGCTGGCTCGAAATTCGGCTCCGGAAAGTTCAACCAAGGCGGCAGTGACTCTGGTCAACCCACACGGCGCCCGCCACACATATTACCCTCGACCCCTCCGGCAAATCCCTACTCTCGAGCACTGCAACCATGGCGTCGCGATTCTTTGCCGCCAGCGACAGCTCCTCGGACGAGTCCAGCGAGGAGGAGCTCTACTCCAACGACGAGGAGTCTGAGCAGGAAGACAGCGACAAGGACTCGGACGAGGAATCCGATGACGACGACTCGTCCGACTCTGGATCCGAAACCGGAGCCAACCGCTTCTTGAAGGACGCCTCGAGCGACAGCGACAGCGACGACGAGGATGTGAACAAGGTGCTGAAGAGTGCCAAGGACAAGCGCTTCGACGAGCTCGAGGCGACCATCCGGCTCATTGAGAACGCGCAGAAGATCAACGACTGGGCTGTCATTTCCGAACGTACGTCCAATTCCGAAGTGGCTCTGGGCATGGCATAGAACACGGTGGCGGGGTACACAAACAGTGCTGACATGCGTTATACAGAGTTCGACAAGCTCATCCGCCAGGTGCCTACTCTGACCAAGCAGAACGATGGCAAGGTCCCCAAGCTGTACATCCAGGCCGTTGCCGACCTCGAGACGGTTGTCCTCGAGACCCACGAGAAGCAGAAGGTCACACCCAAGAAGATGAACGCTGTCAACGGCCGCGGTTTCAACGCTGTCCGCCAGAAAATCAAGAAGCACAACCGCGACTTTGAGAAAGACATCAACGCCTACCGGGAGAACAAGGAGGATTTTATGCGCGAGGAGGAGGAAGTTGTTCAAGCACCCAAGGAAAAGAAGAAGAAGAACAAGATCCCTCAGCTCGGCACCGAGGTCGTCGAGGAGGCCACTGACGACGGCTTCATCACAGTCGGAGCTGGTGGCAAGGCCGTCCTGTACACGGCTGAGGGTATTCTCAAGCACTTGCGCGCCATTGTCGAGCAGCGTGGTCGCAAGAACTCGGACAAGCTGGAGCACATCCGGACACTGGAGAAGTTGTTCGACGTCGCCGTCAATGACTACCAAAAGGTCCGCGTTCTTTTGACCCTCATCTCGACGCGCTTCGATTTGACGTCTGGTACTGCCAGCCACATGCACCAAGATCAGTGGAAGCTGTGAGTACCTTTGGCCTGACATGTTTGCCATTTGCTAACATAACGCAGGGCCGACCAGGAATTCGGAAAGCTCCTTGAGATTCTTGAGAACAGCAACGAGATTGTTGTCATCGAGAACGCCGAGGAGTGGGAGGACGACGAGAAGCTGCCCACCATCACACCCGGCGAGATCTTCCGCATCCCAGGAAGCGTCGTCTCTTTCGTTGAGAGGCTCGACGACGAACTCACCCGCTCGCTGCAGCACATCGACCCACACACTTCCGAGTACATTGAACGGTTGACCGACGAGGCTCTGCTGTACGCTCAGCTGGTGCGCACCCTGGTATACGTTGAGAGCATGAAGAAGAACCCAAGCCTAGAACTTCCACAAGAGCCATTGAACCGCATTGTTATGCGGAGATTGGAACACGTCTACTTCAAGGTAAGAAACATGCCGTTTTCTGCTTTCTATGCTAACGTCCATAGCCCTCCCAAGTCATCACTATCCTTGAGAACAACGTCTGGAAGGCCATCCCAGAGAGCCTTGACTCAGAGATCACCCCCCGCGCCATCTCCAACGACACCGCCTCCCTCGTACAAACTCTATGCACATACCTCTTCCAGAACAGTGAGGGCATCATCCGCGCTCGCGCCATGCTGTGCCAGATCTACTTCCTGTCTCTGCACGACCAGTACTACAAGGCTCGCGATATGATGCTCATGTCGCATTTGCAAGAGACCATCAGCAACTTTGACGTCAACACACAGATTCTCTTCAACCGCGCGCTGGTCCAAGTCGGTCTCTGCGCGTTCCGTGCCGGTCTTGTCTACGAGGCACAAACCTCGCTGCAGGAGATCTGCGGTAGCAACAGGCAGAAGGAGCTGCTCGCACAAGGTCTGCAAATGCAGCGATACTCCCAGATCTCGCCCGAGCAGGAGCGTCTTGAGCGTCAACGGCAACTTCCTTTCCACATGCACATCAACCTTGAGCTGCTAGAGTGCGTCTACCTGACCTGCTCCATGTTGCTCGAGATTCCTCTTCTCGCACAGCTTGGCTCCTCGCCAGACCTGAGGAAGCGAGTCATCAGCAAGACCTACCGCCGTCTCTTAGAGTACCATGAGCGTCAGATCTTCACTGGTCCTCCTGAGAACACCCGCGACCACGTCATGCAGGCGTCCAAGGCACTGTCTGCTGGTGAATGGAAGAAGGCAGCTGAGTTCATCAACTCGATCAAGATCTGGGAGCTCATGGCCGACTCGGAGAAGATCAAGGAGATGCTTTCCTCGCAAATCCAGGAAGAGGGCCTCAGGACATATCTCTTCACATACGCACCTTTCTACGACACTCTGTCCATCACCACACTGGCGGGTATGTTCGAGCTGTCGGAGCGCAAGGTCTCCGCAGTCGTCTCCAAGATGATTTCACACGAGGAGCTTGCTGCCGCGCTTGATCAAGTCAACTCCGCCATCATCTTCAGGAAGGGTGTTGAGCTGTCAAGACTACAGACCCTCGCGCTCAGCCTGTCAGACAAGGCATCCGGTCTCATCGAGTCGAACGAGAAGACACTGGAGCAACGCACACAAGGAACCGCCAACGCCTTTGAGAGGCAAGGTGGACGTGGCGGTCGCGGTGGCCGAGGAGGCGGCCGTGGTGGTGGTGGTCGCGGCGGAGGTGGACCACGGGGCGGAAGGAATCAACAGTTCACTGGCGGTGCTTTGGGACGTGCGATCCAGGCTTAGACGTAGATACCTCGTCTTCTAGGAGGCAACGTAGGGTCATGGGCGGCGAATACGGTTTTGTCGGACTACACCTTTGGTAGCTCCGTGGTAATGCGAATGCTTTTCAGCTAGATCATGAGAGCGAATGCAGGAATGAAAAGTACGCAAAAAGTACATTATGTTCGTGGCCGCGTAGTCTTTGACTGCCTTGATGGTTGATGGGTGTGGGAACAAAATGTATATGATTGCAATTCTGACAGTTCCCAACACACTTTGATTTGACTCTGTGTAGCCATCCATTCTTTGAGTTCGTTGGAGTCTCTACCCAAGACACCCGATGGAGCGCAATTGTACCAAGGCAAATTTCCACTTCATCGCCTTACATTTAGTTTGCTGAAACACACGTCAATCAACATGGCTTTGCATAGCGAACTACATATTTTGGAGGGAGTAGAGTGAGGGCGAGAATGTGATAAGGAGTCTTTCGTATCTTCTGCGAAAGTGTTCAAGAGCACATGAACGATATGTCAAGTTACGGGCTCCACGTGCTGTATAGATCTTAGCACGTATAACTTGAGTTCAAAAGCAGCTAATGAATAACCCTACACGCTGCTTCTTGCGTCTCTGGATCAAGTAGATGCGGTAAAGGTAGGATCGTTGAGCAGCAACATTCGCCTGTCTCTTTGAGCGGTATATCTGGCGAGCAAAAGTTGTCTAAGCAAAAAGAATAAAAAGCTGGACACCCACACTCCCGAATAAAGGTGTTCTAGATGCGAGACGTCTATGGGGGCAAAAAGATATGGACGGGCGGGTGATCTGACAATTCTGTTAGCAACTGTGCTCGAACTCGTTCAATTCACTGTCTTACCGAAACCCGGACCTTCCGCAATTGTTTTCAGGTCTTCTGCACTAGGACTAGCGCGAAGAACTTGCAAAGCGGACCTTTTCATTGGTCAGTTTGAGGCATGTAAGAGTGTATAGGGTGGTTACTAACGCTCTACCACTGAGCCACACGCCCTGGAGTCTTGAAGACTGGTGTTGATGGAGATTTGTGGAATTAGAGCGTATCCAATGTTGGGTAGAAGCGGGGATGAGCCCCTCACCGTACGACAAACTAACCAACCGAAGAACAACTCCTCTTCTAACCAGTGGCCCAAAGGTGGGGCTGTTGGAATGTGGAATCCGAATGGTATCCGATTGTTGGCCGAACCATACGTTTGTATGGAGTCAAACTGGGGATAGAGATCTTGAACATTGAAGACGACACGATAGCAACTGTTTGAGCGACGAGCCATGATGTATTGCGAGCATAAAAACAGTAGTAAATGACTTTGTAAATGTATATTGCTTTAGATCTTGTTAGCCTTCGCTCTGGTAAGGACG